GCTAACAGGAACCTCCCTTAAACGACCTTCGATAACTGGAACCTCCCTCAAAGGACCTTCGCTAACAAGAACCACCCCTCATACGACCCCCCCCCTTTCACTAACGACCTTCCTTAATCCGAACCCGCCGCTAATACCCCCCCCCCCCACCACCAATCTCAGAACAATAAACCAGGGGTTCCACTAATCCATATGACCATCCGGGACCCTTCACGAAGAATTGCTCTGTTAATGAGACTTGGGTGTCTAAGGGCTGGGTTATTTATCCTGTAGTGCAGTGTAACCTCATGCAGGCGAGGAGTCACAATAACGTGGCTGAAGTATGTTGACCAGACCACACACACTAGAAGTTGAAGGGACGACGACGTTTCGGTCCGTCCTGGACCATTCTCAAGTCGATTGTGATTTGAGAATGGTCCAGGACGGACCGAAACGTTACGTCGTCGTCCCTTCAACTTCTAGTGTGTGGTCTGGTCAATGTAGTGTAACCTCTCTACTGTATTGAGAAGCAATTAGGTGAGGTCAAAGAAGAGAGAGAGAGAAGGTGGTCGTTTCGTAGGTGCATTGTGGGTTATCTTGAGGTTATCTTGAGGTTATCTTGAGATGATTTCGGGGCTTTTTAGTGTCCCCGCGGCCCGGTCCTCGACCAGGCCTCCACATCCCCCCAGGAAGCAGCCCGTGACAGCTGACTAACACCCAGGTACCTATTTTACTGCTAGGTAACAAGGGGCATAGGGTGAAAGAAACTCTGTTTATTGTTTCTCGCCGGCGCCTGGGATTGAACCCAGGACCACAGGATCACAAGTCCAGCGTGCTGTCCGCTCGGCCGACCGGGTTACACCTGAGAGAGAGAGAGAGAGAGAGAGAGAGAGAGAGAGAGAGAGAGAGAGAGAGAGAGAGAGAGAGAGAGAGAGAGAGAAGAGAGAGAGAGAGAGAGAGAGAGAGAGAGAGAGAGAGAGAGAGAGAGAGAGAGAGAGAGAGAGCTACTCTAGCAGTCTAAAAAAAATATAGAGCTGTAGCTCCCAATCTTCATATTTCCAGTTATGGGTTAAGAAAATTACAAATTTGATCCACATGACTATTATAGCCACAGGCTCTGAAAACTGTACCGAGTTTCCTGCATTTAGTTCATTTGGTGCAACTTGCGACATCTGGTTAGCCCTTGAGCGCCTCTTGCAACATTTAGTTACCCCTTAAGCGCCTCTTGCTATATCTGGTTAGCCCTTAAGCGCCTCTTGCAACATCTGGTTAGCCCTTAAGCACCTCTTGCAACATCTGGTTAGCCCTTAAGCGCCTCTTGCAGCATCTGGTTAGCCCTTAAGCGCCTCTTGAAACATCTGGTTAGCCCTTGAGCGCCTGTTGCAACATCTGGTTACCCCTTGAGCGCCTCTTGCAACATCTAGTTACCCCTTAAGCGCCTCTTGCAACATCTAGTTACCCCTTAAGCGCCTCTTGCAACATCTAGTTACCCCTTAAGCGCCTCTTACAACATCTAGTTACCCCTTAAGCACCTGGCTTAAGAGGAAGAGCAGAGAAGCAAAGAAGAGAACCACTAGAGCAAGGAAGAGGTACAAGGAGCTAGGGAGAGAGAGGAAGATAAAGGTGGACTTAAGAGATCTATAAATGAATACAGAGGAGTCAGAAGAGAAGCGGAGAGACAGTTTGGCAGCGACACTGCAGGACTAACTCAAGGTGTCTGATAGCCACATAAGGAGAGTAAGTGACCAAAATTAGAAGATAGAACAGGGGGCATACGTCGTCGTTAGATTAGAAGAAATTAGAAGATAGAACAGGGGGCATACGTCGTCGTTAGATTAGAAGAAATTAGAAGATAGAACAGGGGGCATACGTCGTCGTTAGATTAGAAGAAATTAGAAGATAGAACAGGGGGCATACGTCATCGTTAGATTAGAAGAAATTAGAAGATAAAACAGGGGCATACGTCGTCGTTAGATTAGAAGAAATTAGAAGATAGAACAGGGGGCATACGTCGTCGTTAGATTAGAAGAAATTAGAAGATAGAACAGGGGGCATACGTCGTCGTTAGATTAGAAGAAATTAGAAGATAGAACAGGGAACGTCGACCAGGAGGCCTGGTCGACGACCGGGCCGCGGGGACGCTAAGCCCCGGAAGCACCTCAAGGTAACCTCAAGGTAAGGTAGAACATGAACCTCACGCGCATTGGGGGGGGTTCGCTGTTCGAGCCTTCCAGTGCCCTGGTAAATGACCTGAAAAGTAAGGAATTATAAAAGGGGGGGGGAGAGAGGGCGTGATTTCATAAGATTTCAGATTCTTTGCAAAGAAGCCAACGCGGTGAGTAGAGTTTAGGGATGAAAAGCTAGAGGAAACAAAGGATGACGCAGTCACTCTTGAAAAGATTAAAAGACACTTGAACTATAGATGCAGACGAGCTATACGACATAATAATGAAGTTGTGGAAGCCGCTTCCATCCACAACTCTAAGGACAGATACGACAAAGGATGCTAACGACAGAATAGTTCAGCTGTACATGTACAACGAGGCTGGTAGACGGGGTCCAAGAGCTGCAGCCCTCACTTGCCCCCCCTCACACACCCGTAGTCACTGATAGGTATGAACAGCTTTTTTTTTAAACCGCTTCTCTTCTATCCAGCTTGTCCAACCACTTGGGTTGGACGGTAGAGCGACGGTCTCGCTTCATGCAGGTCGGCGTTCAATCCCCCGACCGTCCACAAGTGCTTGGGCACCATTCCTTCACACCCGTCCAATCCAGTATCCTTATCCTGACCCCTTCCCAGTGCTATATAGTCGTAATGACTTGGTGCTTTCCTCTGATAATTCTCTCACCCCTTCTCTCCTGCTGGTCTTGAACCTGTTTCACTTTTTCCTCTCTCACCTTAAGTCGCTGTGTCTTAAGTCTGAGGGCTTCCCCAACGTCTTAAAGGCTCGCAACTCGTATATTAAACTACATTTTCCCCCAAGTCTTAACCGAAGACTAAACCAAAGAGCCCGGCGGATCTTCAACAAACGCTAATGTAGCAAATTAGAAGGTATCGTAAATGCATATTAAGTATATGATAAATACATTTATACCAAAGTATTATCCCCCCCCCACCCCACCCCCTTCCCAAAACGGTATATAGCTGTTTTATTTCCTGTCCTCAATGTCCAGAATTTGTCATGAAATTGGGGTAATTTTACCGAATTAATTTTTATATTTTTACACAAAGTGAATTTGATCACTGGCTTGA